CTGCCCTAGGGGCTCCCCTCCCGCTGTCATGGTGCCCTGCCCTAGGGCTCCCCTCCCGCTGTCATGGTGCTGTCCGCCTGCGTAACCTACTGTCCTTGAGGCTCGGGCAGAGCCAGAAGCTTCTAGACCTGGCCAGCAGCCCAAGCCAGGCCTTGTGTTGAAAGCGGTTGCCAGGGTAGCAGCCCCGCCACGACACCCTCCCACTCCGTTCTCCCACCCTATTGGGAGGCAGCCAAGGCCAGTGGCAGCCAATGGGAAGTGAGCGGCGCATCACGTGAGCTTGGTGGGCGGAGGGAGAGGCGAGCCGTGGGGAGCCGGCGTGCTCCCCTCCCGCGCTGGGGCTGTAGCTGCTGTGCCACAGCCAGTCGGGAGGGAGGCCGAGGAGTGGAATCGCAGCCATGTTCGGGGCCGGGGGGCTGAGGGAGTTCTTCGAAGAAGACCCCTTCTTCCGGTGAGTGGTCGGCGGGGCGAGGCGCCTGGCGGCGGCGGGGGCAGCGGCCCCTGCGCGTGCCTGAACGGCTCCCAGGCTGCGGGGCGCTCGGAGTCGGCTGGACTGTCCGGGGGGAAGGGACTGGCTGCTCCACCCGCCCGAGCCTTGGGGGGCTGCACCGGCCGGCCTGATGCGTGCGGCTATCTGCCTCGCCTGGCTCATCCTCGCTCGCACCCAGAGCGGCTTGGAGCCGGCTCCTCGGTCTCCTTCCCGGGGGGGTGAGAGCCAAGCGCTGGCTGCGGCCCCGCGGTGTTTGCGCTCAGCCCTTGCCGGGCAGGTAGGTAAGGTGGCTGTGAGTGTGATGCGCGCTGAGGAGCCATGAAGAGGAGGGGTCCGAATCAGAACCGGGATCTTCGACCCCCTGAAATACTAACCAGGAAAACACTGGAAAGCAGAAGATGGTGAAGGCGAATGGCTGTGAGCGTCCTGCTCTGCGCCTTTCAGCTGGGACTGGAGGAAACCTGGTAGAGCCACTTAGGGAAGACTTTGGGTCAGGGACTTAGGCTGCAGCTCTGTGCACAGAGCCTCCATTGCTAGCAGTGGTGGGAGTGGGTTGGCATTTTTATCGTTGTGTTTTTGAGATCTGCCGGTGGCGGGTGGTCAGGCCAGTACATGCAAACCATATGAAGCATTGGAGTTCCTAGTTGCATAACTGTTCTCCAGATAGCGAAGTGTGGCATCTTTGTGGCTGTGTTTAATGCCTTTACGTGTGTTAGATACAGATAGATTTCTTGTTTTACAGTATGTTCCAGCAAACACTGGGTTAATACATCTCTTATTTTAATCTCAAGGAGATGACAGGTAAGGAAAGCATGAATTGCTTTCCAGAACTATCATACTGGTACTCTTTTTCTCGTCTCCCTGCTTCTCCCACTTTCCCCACTCGAGGCTAATCCATATTTTTATGATTTCTTAACTGCAGAAAATGTGGGTTGCCTGATGCTTCAGTTGATCCAGTGGGACTGTAAAGATAACAGGCTACAAAAAGTGATTTATGATTATACAACTTAAATATTATGCAGAGCCCTAATAGACTTTGCAGAGCACAGGTATTATGAAAAATCTACTAGGTTTTTTTCTTATGTACTCTACCTAAAGAAACTTTTTAATTAAGGATCACAGTCTGAGAAGATTGTGCATCAATAAGAACATAAGAATGGCCATACTGGGTCAGACCAGTGGTCCATCTAGCCCAGTATCCTGTCTTCTGAGAGTGGCTGGTGCCAGATGCTTCAGAGGGAGTGAACAGAACTGGGCAGTTTCATCAGGTGAGCCCTCCCCGGTTCTAGCAGTCAGAGGTTAGGGACACTCAAAGCTTTGGGTTCCATCCCTGATCATCTTGGCTAATACCCATCGATGGATGTATCCTCCATGAACTTATCTGATTCTTTTTTGAACCCATTTGTACTTTTAGCCTCCACAGCATCCTCTGGTAACGAGTTCCACAAGTTGACTGTGTATTGTGTGAAGAAGTTCTTCCTTTTGTTTGTTTTAAACCTGCTCCTTGTTAATTTCATTGGGTGACTCTTGGTTTGTGTATTATGTGGAGGGATAAATAACACTTCCTTATTCACTTTCTCCCCACCGTTCATGATTTTATAGACCTCTATCATAGCTCCCTGTAGTTGTCTCTTTTCCAAGCTGACTAGTCCCAGTCTTTTTAATTTCTTCCAAGGGGGAACTGTTTCATACCCCCAATCATTTTTTGTTGCCCTTCTCTGTATTTTCTCCAGTTCTAATATATCTTTTTTGAAATGGGGTGACCCAGAACTGCACACAGTATTCAAGGTGTGGGCATACCATGCATTTTATATAGTGGCATTATGATATTTTCTGTCTTACTCCCTTTCCTAATGGTTCCAAATATCTGTTAGCTTTTTTGGCTGCTTCTGCACATTGAGCAGAGGTTTCCAGAGAGCTATCCACAATGACTCTTACATTTTGTCTGTATAGTTGGGAGTATGTCTTCCAATGTGCATTACTTTGCATTTATCAAGATTGAATTTCATCTGCCTTTTTCTTGCCCGGTCAGCAAGTTTTGTGAGATCCCTTTGTAACTCTTTGCAGTCTGCTTTGGACTCAACTAAAGCAAAAAAAACTTTTGAAGTATGAGATATGCCAAAACAATCCAAATCACATCACTCTATGTAATTTCTCTCATTCCCGTCTTCCCCCACTCCTTTTATGTCTCTAATCTAGATTATAAACTCTAACCTCTATAGAATAGATACAATGTCTTCTTACAGGTCTAAAGCACACACCCATCAATGGTGCTGTAGAATAATATCTGAAAGAAGAATTTGGCCCTACATCATTACTAATTAGGAACAGAATATTCATTATTGCATTTATTGACACTTGTAAGGATTAAATTATCAATAAATATCTTTAGTAAAGCTGGTCAGGGTAATTTTTTTTTTTGTCTGAAACTGACTGTTCTTGAGAAAGAGTTGACCTATTTCTCAGTTTGTTGGAAAAAAAAATTTCAAGAATTCTTCAATGTCCATGTCCCGTTTTGATATTTCTGAGATAAAAAATTCTGGGTTTTTTGTTCCAAACAATTTTTTATTTTAAAATTTAAGCTAATTATAGTAAAATAAAGGATCAAAAATCAAAACATTTTGAAAATGTTAAAACATTTCAATTGTCCTGACTAAATTATTTATTTCAATTCCTCTCCCCTCCCCCACCCGATTGTCGGTTCACAAATATTTTTGAGATTGGCTTTTTATCTGGGTTCAGGGCAGGAAATTTTTTCAAAATCTCTTTTAAAAAAAAAAAATGTCCCAGGATGGGACTACCATTTTCCACCCAGCTCTAATAATGTCTTTATAACATGATTCCATACTGGGGATTGCTGAGTGGGAGAAAAGAAAATACATGAACTTTATAAATCAGAACAACCACTAGCCTTTATATACGGCCCCGCAGCTCCCCCTTAAAAAGGCCTCCCATACAGAAAAATCCAAACATTGCTGCTTCCTTTGAGGCTTCCAGTCGCAAGTTCATGCTGCCCCAGTACTTGTCAAGGTTACTCCTTGCCCTTGTATATATATTTTTTTTCTGTAAGATTTTTTTTTTCCAGTTACACATGACACTACAGGCTGTATTTTGAACGTCCATCATATCAGCTGTCTCAGTTCTCTGCTTCAATGCTTGCCTACCACATGGAAGAACCTTTACTTCAAAAGTAAGCAGCCAAGGCAGGAACCTTTAACATCTCTGGATTTCCCCATCATTAGAGCCCTACTAAATTCATGGTCCATTTTGGTCAATTTCAGGGTCATAAGATTTTTAAAATCCTAAATTTCATGGTTTCAGATATTTAAATCTGAACTTTAACTGTGTTGTAATCGTGGGGGTCCCAACCCAAAAGAAAGTCATGCATGGTGGGGTCGCAAGGCTATTTCGGGGGGGGATGTCACGATATTGTCATCCTTACTTCTGCACTGCTGCTGGCTGCGGCACTGCCTTCACTCTCTGGCTGCCTAACTCTGAAGGCAGCAGCGCAAAGGTAAGGGTGACGTGATATGGTATTGTCACCCTTCTGCGCTGCTGCTGGCAGCGGTGCAGAAGTAAGGTTAATAATACTACACCGTGCCACCCTCACTTCTATGCTGCTGGCTTCAGAGCTGGCTTCAGAGCTGGGCTGCCAGCCAGCAGCTTCTCTCGGCCGCCGCGCTCTGAAGGCAGCGCCACCGCCAGCAGCACACAAATATGAGTGGCAATATAATACAACAGCCAGATTTCACAGGGGAGATCAGCTTTCATGGTCTATGACATGTTTTTTATGGCCTTGAATTTGGTAGGGTCTTACCCATCATGCTAGAAAGGGAGTTTATTTTAGACATTTGGCAAGCCATGCTCCTGCTAAAAAATGAAGATGCTTATGCGAATTGGTAGTTATACTACAGTTTGAATATGCAAGTATACTATAACCGAAAAGCCACTGCTGCTCACGTATCTTGTACATAAAACAGGAGTTGGTTGGCTGAAGGGCTGACATACAAGGTGGAAACTAGTCAAAACAAGCATTATTTATAAGAAGTAATCTCTAACCTCGGATAACACGGTTTAGCATTCTATTTATGTTTCTCCTGAGCTGCAGAGACAGGGTTGCACAATTTTAACATGAGGAGATAGCCAGTGTTACCTTTGGCAAATGTATCTGCAGCAGGAGTTCAGAGAAACTACAGTGGATTAGAGCAAAGAAGAAACTGAGCAACCACCATCCATTTTTCCAAAACAGACAAGAAGCTATAACCAGTGGAGCTAATTCTCTTCGGTACGTATCACTGTGAAATTGCTTCACGGGTGATCTGTGCAAGATGAGTTGACATAACAGTGCTAACAATACCTTGAGGGAAGTGTTTATTGCACAGAAGACGTTGTTAGGGGAAGGACTATTCAAGGATTAACATGGTTTACAACAATTTTGACTGAGTACATAGTTCATTAGACAAAACTGGCTGTGGATAAAACCAAAACAAACATTAAACCCTGTACTGCACTAATAAATGCTGTTCAACATATTAATAAATGATCTGGAAAAAGAGATGAACAATGAGATGGCAAAGTTTGCAGACCATACTAAATTATCAAGTTAGTTAATTCTGAAGTAGACTGGGGAGAGTTATATAGGGATCTCACAAAACTGGGTGACTGGGCAAAAAAATGGCAGACGAAATTCAATCTTGATAAATGCAAAGTAACGCATGGTGGAAAATATAATCTCAACTATACAGACAAAATAATGGGATTTAAATTAGCTATTGCCACACAAGACGGATCTTGGAGTCATTTTGGATAGTTCTCTGAGAACATCTGCTCACAGTGCAGCAGCAGTGTTTAAAAAAAAAAAAAAAAAAGCTAACAAAGTTAGCAACCATTAGGAAAAGGATAGATAATAAGACAGAAAATATCATAATGCCACTATATAAATCCATGGTTTGCCATGCCTT